AGATTTCAGCAAGCAAGTGATAAAGTCAAGTGTCACACCTTGAAATGACTATATTGGTATTGAAATGCATTACAACTTCATAACCTACTTCTTAGTTCTGCACTTACATTGCTAATATATAGGGCAAGAATAGACATAATCCACTACATCACCTTCTATACCAGACCAAAAAAATCCTTTTTTCAATTAAGCAAGAGTCTTTCATTTTCCACCATGTCCCGCTACTAGAACATCATGATGTTCTCACAAAAATAGTTGTTGTAGATCCTTGGAGGGAAGATACAATCTTTTTTGTTTATAAAAAATAAGCCCATCCCAAACTAAGAAGTGAAGCTTTGTATTGGTATGACTAGCAATTTTCACTGTTTCACTTCAGGGTTTTGCTTTGACAACTTCACATAGAGTAAGATTGCCTTCACTACTTCTAGTTTGCCATGTTTTAGCACACATTTGGTGCCACAAAGTTTTGGCATAATTGGTGTGAAAAGATTGTGCACACACAACTTTAGTACGATCATCCACATCTACTATTATGAAATAGTTTTCCATATTGTAAACCCAATCTTCCAAAACCTAATAGTCCTCCATCTTTTTCAAGTTTTGAGGACAATGAAGTTTTGCAACCACCCCTAGTTGCATGAGTTTTAAAATTTAAGCCTCCGAAACCACCTAATTTCAAAGGCAGTTCAGTTGCTTAAGTTTAGCTTGTTTAGCTACTTCAACTTTCTTCTTCTTGTTCTCCTTCTTCAATTTGTAAACTTCCCTTTGCAAATTCTCAATCTCAATGTTTTAAACCATATGCTGCAGTGCTGCAGCATCAGGCTCTTCCTCTTTTAAGTCAACCTTAACCTCTTTTGCAGCATCTTTAGCAAGAGTTTCCCCTTCTCAATTTGCCTGCTTAGATGTTTCAGCATCATTAGCATGTAGGTGGTGTCTGGCATGTTTTTGGCATATCAATGGCCTGACGCGAGGAGAAGGGTACTCCACCAACTAGAGAAGCGTGGAGCTTGGGCTTAAATATAAACCAAATACTAAATAAGGAGCGACATAGCCTAGCAAGAACTAAATTAATGTCTCAAGTGGTCAAATATGCATTCCAACCACTATCTCTATTAGATATTTGGAACCCCCCACAACCCCCCTCCCCCCCTTGAGGAACACATGCTTTGGGCTTTCACCCTTAGCCACCCTTAGTACTAGAAGTTAAGTCTCTAGATCAATCACAAAACTTATTAAATATGGAATGGTATTAGATTGTGAATTTGGACATGGGATCAACACCATTGTGTTCAGAATAATCTCTACATTCCGTAGATATGCTAAATTAGCAAATTTAGACACTTTCTATATATAGTCAATAACACCATAATGAGACCAACACAAAGGGCATGATAGTGATGATGTTTGGCAAACACAGTAAACTATCACATAGCGATATTAAGGGATTAGACTCAATATGCAAGGGTTCTTGCCAAGCTAGTGCAAGACAGAGCAAAAAAGAATTAAAAGCTAGGTCGATAATACTCAGCTAGAAACACATAAAAGTTCTTACTTTATATTCATTTTAGTTTACTAACACTTGAACAAAAGGGGCTACTGAAGGGAACCAATAGTATTGATCTCTTGTCATTATAGCAATAAAAAAAAAGTGTTCATAAGGATTGGCCAACAAGTATCTTTTGATATTCAAAGTCATATTTACAACAATTACCCATCTTGTTTAAGGATGGTGAAATTGTCAAAAAAAGCACACTCTTGGACACATTGTATATGTGGAGGATGGAGCTCAAAATGCAACTTATTGACATTATTGTGAGAGCAATGTTAATGAGAATAACTTTTGTATTACCAATGACTTGCTTTCAACTCCTTTAGAAGCTTGTTCTGCATCTATTCTTGCTGCTATATTATCTCCTTGTAGCAAGTGAGCTTCAATAGCACTTTTTTGATCATTGGAAGAAATTACTTATTGTATGTGGATATTGTTAGAGGAGTATAAACACAAGCTATTGAGAAAGAAACACCCTATGATGATATACAAGAAACTTCTTCCACTCTAGATATATCAAGCTTTTGGAGGAGATCTTGCTTTAGTGATTTGGCTGTTGCAAATACTTCATAACATATATAAAATTACTGCTTTAACATCTTGTGCTATAAGGTGCCTTTCAAGCTAGAAATGGGTCAGCTTGCTCAAATGGGTCACTTTAGACTGATCTTGGGAGACATTAGACATTTCATAGAAGTAAGCATTTGCTATGCAACAAATATTTTATATTGGTTCAAGATTGACTTTTAGGTGTTTATAATCCTCTTGAATAACTCATTTCAAGCTTGAGATTGTTCTTGAGAAAATAGAAAGCAAGGAAAAAAAATTAGTGAGAAAAAGTTATATTTGCTAGATCAATTTTGTTTTTGCCATTTGACGAGATTTGATTTTAAAATACCGCAATAATTAATCATCCCCAAGAAAATGGAAGGCTTAGTACAGGAATGCAAGGCTTTGTACAATTGTTTTGACAAACGAGATCAATGTAACACTATGTTGACAGCTGCGGAGGCAGCCCGGTGCATTTGCTTGTCCCAAGTCCCGGCATCCATGTCGTAGGAGAAGTAGGTCGTCTCCGTCTTCTTCAAGTGGCAATCTTCCCCGCAAAAATTCAGGTATTTCCCAGATTGACCAATGAACCAGACCCCGTCATTGGCCTGGAAATCAATCACATACTCGCTCACCAGCCTGAGCACCACGCTACGTTCCCGCTCAAGCTCCAAGATCTGGACCTTACGCTCGCTGTCAATCACTATCCCTACGTAGAGCTTGGACTTCCAAGCGCCGGCGAGGTAATTGTCCTCGCCATTGGGCAAGACATTCTCAGTATACGAGAAGCTATTACTTGTGGTGTCGAACTCCAACAGATTCGGGTAGCGCAAGGAATCCAGGCAAAACAGTTTGTTGCCATTCACCACAGGCTTCAACACAAATTCAGTTTCGGAGTCAGATTCGGATTCTTCAGCCACAGGACTTTCGATGTTGGACCAACCCTCGTCTCCTTGTGTCCAGGTGAAAAGCGTGCCATCAGCGCACCACACCACAATCTTGTTGCGCAGGATGCAAGCCCTGGACCAGTCGCCGAAAACCTTGTAGGGAATCTCTTGCCACACGTTGAGAAAAGGATTCCCAAGGTAGAGCTTCCTCTGTTGTGTAGAGCGAGCCAGCAAGCAACGCTGGTCCGCGGACGAGATTGCGCACAGCACATCCGGACTATCACCGCGCGGCGCCCATCGCATGAGCTTGTCGCTGCTGTCCGTGATGGAATTGGCATCGGCGAAGAAGTGACCACTGTCCCTGTACCTGCTCTTGACGCTGGTGCTGTCCGCCGCTGCTTTCCACGCCTTGCAAACGGACCTGGCAATGATGAGCGACGAGTAGGGCAGCTTGAGCAATATCTCCTCCACAAGCTCCTGCGGCAGTGTCGTCGTTGTCCTCCTCCTCGCACCCATTGTACCCTTAGGTTTTTCACTTCCCTTTTTCTAGGTTTTTATGACATAGGCATTTCAGATCACGGCTGGCAATGTCTCCTCTTAAGATGACGTGTTCACTTTATAATAAGCTTCATTTTTTCTTTGCAGATCTTCAAACAAGCCCTCGTTCTGCTACCCCTCTCTGATTCATGTCCACAACGATTATTTTCTCAAAAGAAGTATGCTCTCTGATTTGGTTCGGAGGCGCTTTTGCCACAGGCTTTCCAATACGTTTTCTTTTTAAGAAAATTTCTTGACGAGTTAATGTTTTAAGAAGGTACTGAGGCTTTTCAAACTTTATAATAATTATTTTCAGGAGGCTTATATAATAAAAAAATTCATTGTGCAACATATTATAAGGTTTTTACTCAAACTTTTACAATTATTATTTTAATAACATGGTTTAATAAATAACATTAAATAGAAATAACACTACTATTAAGAAAATCAAGTGTTGTAACACATAACAAATTATTTAACTAATCGAAACACCTATTCCATTGATCCTTCATTAATTTATGATATTAAGTTCCATAGGCCACTGTTATTCAAATTTACCTTTTTTTATGTTAATAGCAGCTTGATATTTATTTTCTCTGAATTACTCCATTATCTCCATAATCCTCAAAATGAATTTTTTTTTAAAATATAGTATTTGTGATAAAAATACCCTCATTAAATTTTAAACCCTTAGATATGGAGAATATTCAAGCATATTTTAAAATATTCTTTAATATTAATTCTAAATTATACACAAACGAGGTTCTCCAGGCATTGTCGCTGGCACTCCTTGGCATCCACATGCAAAACCTCGTCTTCTTGCAATCCTTAGGGCGGGGAAGTCCACCAATGAGAGCTCTTTTCCATGGTGAGTGTGTCTTGGAATTCGTTAATTCTAGAATGGCAAGCCAGATGAAGAGTCAAATTTCATGGCTACCTTGCAGCTCTTGCACAGAGATTGAGTAGCAGCACGGAAAGAAATCTCTGGAAAGAATAATGGTTCTAAAGAAGGGATCCATGCTCAAGCTTGGCTATGGATCCACAAACATACATGGACTTTGGGTCCCATCTGTTCACTGGCAAGAAGCAGAAATTTTTACTCGTCCTCAAGGCCGATAGCATCCAAACTGCAATGTTTTTCAAGTTCTTAAGAAAATGTACTTTGGGCAGTTTTGTTGCCCTATGTCTGCTTTGATTTTGCACATCCTTGGCTTAAGTGGACTTTGGGCTACGTGTAATTCTCAATTTCAAAGTTTATAAAGCTTTATCTGCAATCTTTCTTGATAGCTGCCTTCCACCTCTTTCTTTTGTGCCACTCATTGCTCTAGTTGGCCCCTTCTGTGATGCATTTTTGTAGCCAGAAAAATCTTGTAGAGGCAATAGCTCATATCATAGTGTTCACTATGTTTCACTCTTTTGGCTCTCACCCAAGGCTATTCACTACCACCTTTTTGAAATCCGAGATGAGTACTCTGCACTAAATATTGGATCACATCATGTATATTTGGTGGGTATGATCTTTTGTATACTGGAGGCTGAAACATCCAAGTTTTGGGTATGTTCATGTCAAGAGTGAGCTCCTGGTGTACAACTAGAAAATCTCCCTCACAGGCGACGAAGACGTTGTCATCGAAGAACTTCCTCCTGGCTCTTGAGTGGATCCTCCTCCCTCTCTCGAGAAGATTTCGCCGCTCGGGAACTCCTATCGATTTCACCATGCTCGAGCACGCCACATGTTCTCTCTTTAACTTGGGACGTTTCTTCGTAGCGCTCGAAGATCTCCAGAGCCAGCTCGGGTTCTCCATTCTCGGCATAGCCCAGCAGCAGCGCGTTCAAGGCCACCACGCTCACGCTCGCTGGATCTCACTTCCCGTCAAAGACTCTGCGAGCTCGATCCATGCTACCACACTTGGAGTATATATCCACCAGCGTGCATGCGACGTAGACGTCGGAATCACACCCCTGCTCGGCTGCTCGATCGTGAAGATCAATCCCTCTCTGGAGCCAGAAACTCTTCCTTCTCCGATGATCGTCCCCTTCTTCTCTCGCGGCTAAGCTCGACACACACTCTGTGAATCCGGCCGCTCGTCCATGCTGGCGAAGAACTTGAGAGCTACATCGCTCTCCCCGCTTGCTACATATCCCAAGATCATCGAGTTCCAAGCTGTCACCGACGGGCATGGCACCATCTTCCGGAAAACGGCAAGAGCGTCCTCCATGCTTCCACTCCTGGCGTACATCTCCACCAGAGCGCTCGCGACGTAGGCGTCTGAATCGAGCTGGGACTTCGCAGCTTCGGCATGGATTGCCAGTCCTTTCTCCAAGCATCTCGCTTTGGAAAAACCTCGTCCATCTTCTTCTTCCTTGGAAGCAGTGGCCAAGCTCGAGCAAGCCACGAGCACGGCAATGTAAGTTCGATCGTTTGGAGCGCAGCCAGTGGCTTTCATCCGCTGGAACTTCTCCAGAGCCAGCTCGCTCTTGCCGTTGAGAACACACCCGTGGATCAGTGCGTTCCACGGAACCCCATCGCGAGAAGGTGTGATAGTTGCGAAGGCGTTCTCGGCGTCCACCAAGCTTCCACACCTCGAGTACATGTCGATGAGAGCGCTGGCCACGAAAACATCACCCCCGCAGCCACTTTCCACTGCTCGACGGTGCAAATCCCTGCCTTTCTCCAGGCACCTCACTTTGAGAAGCCTGCCATGATCTTTCACTGCCAAACTCGAGCAAGCCATCAATCCGGCCACGAACGTCCGAGAGTTTGGAGAGCAGCCACTGCACTCCATAAGCTCGATCAACTCGAGAGCGATTTCTTCTTCACAGTTCTCCGCGTAGACCAGGATCAGCGACGTCCACGAGACCACGTCGTGGCAGTCCATGTTGTCGAAAATCTTGCGAGCATCCACCAAGCTCCCGCATTTCCCACACAAATCCAGCATGGAGTTCGCGACGAAGATCTCTGTGTGACAATCCTTCTTCGCAGCGTCAGAGTAAAGAGCCATCCCTCTCGCCAAACTCTCCAGTTTCACGAGCTTTCCATCGATGAGCTCTCCCTGTTCTTTCGTTGCCAGGCTAGAACAAGCCGCCAATCCAGCCACAAACGATCGACCATCTGGCTCGCAAGCCGATCCTCTCATCCTGGCAAAGTGTTCCAGCGCCAGAGAGCTCCGATCGTTCCTCACATATCCCAGGATCATCGCGTTCCAGGGAGCAGCATCGCGGAACTGGATGTGACTGTCAAAGAACTTCCGAGCTTCTCCAATCTCTCCACACCTGGAATACATATCGATGATCGCTGTCTGGGCATACTTGTCTATCTTGCCGACCTTGCCCGCGATGATCTTGCCGAGTTCCAGATCTTTCAAGACGCCGCAAGCCCTCAATGCCGCAAGAAACTCTGCCGCCGGGCCAGCGCCATCGCTTGGCTCGCCAAAATACCTGGAAATCCTCGCGATCCCGCGCGCCCTGCCCGCATTGCAGTATCTCATTCATTCTCTCAAGAACCCAGAGCTAGGGCTCTTGACTACTACAAATGCTGGCCAAAAACACATAGGCTCTGGGATTTCGTGGATCTAAGCGGAGGATCTGCCGTGCCGCGTCGATCGCCATGCCGAAATCCTTGAATTTGATGCAGGATCTGTTAGTAGGAAGCGGAAGCGGAGAGGCGCGCACACGAGGAGGAAGAACTGTATCTGTATATGATTGTGTACATATACATAAAGCTATTGCCACGTGGGCATAACTACTGCGACATCATCTTTACCTCTTCAGGCGGCTAATCCAAGTCTGAATCTAAGCCTGAATCGTGCCTAGTTAGTCTGAGATGATGAGCATGGAGAGCTGATGAGAAAAAGCATATGAAAAACTCATCAATCAACTACCCAAAACTTGGTTCTTGGTCTTGAACTTACTTGCACACTCTTTGCTCCTTGTTATGGTCTCAATCTTGCCTCTAGCATGTGGTCTTGGCTGTGAACTGCCAGGCTCCCACTTCTCTGCGACTAGGCACTTGAATCTCCATAAGCATCGATCAAGCAGCTATAGTGCTGCTTCGTGGCTGCCATTCCAAAATCCCTGCCCATCGACGCGAATTTCGCCCTCCCCATCACTCAGTCCCCCTTGCTGGCTGCAAGCGATCAAGAGCGCCACGAAGCACAGCTCGTCGGGCGATTCGAGCGTGCTCATCTCCGAGAAGAGATCGATCACGCCTCGCCAATCGCCCTTGCGGCAGCAAGCGCCCATCATCCCACTCCACGGTCGCTTGAAGGCTACTGGCATCCTGTCAAAGAGATCCCTGGTGCGATCGAGAGTATCGTCCGCCCTAGCAAGCGCAGCAATCATAGTGCTCCATGAGGTGGAGCTCCTTGCCGGGATCGCGTGAAAGAACTCCAGGCATTTTGGAATATCCCCAGTTAGAGTAATTGCAGCGAGCATCGTGTTTGTAGCAATAGCATCGTGCTCGGGCATCAAACCAAATATCTCTTTCGCCCTATCCACGTATCCGTGCATGGCATAACACATCATTATTGATGTCTATGTCACAACACCCTTGTTGGGTATAACCTGGAAGAAACTCTCTGCTTGCTACAATTGCCCATTCACGGCAATTTCTGTAAGCATTGAATTCCAGAAAATTTCATCCTTGTCTGAAAAGGAAGGGCAAATAAATAGTGTTTTGGATTTCTCTATCTGCCCACTTTGCGCGTATAATCCGATCATTGTCGTCAAGAGCGCCATTTCAAGCTTCGGGATTTTTTCGAGCAAAAACTCGGTTTTGATCAAATCCCCATGACGAGATAACGCTGTTAGCATTGCGCTGGAAGAGATTAGATCCCAGCATGGCATATCGCAAAAAAAAATGTTCTTGGCCATGTCCATATTTCCGGCTTGCGAGTAGAGATTGATGGCACACGTAAATGACACCAAGCTTCTCTCTTTCATCTCATCAAAGACTCTTTGTGCTTGATCGATCGATCCATCTCCAGAATTTGTGGCAATCATCGTGTTCCAAGTGAGGAGATCTCTCTCGGGCATTCGATCAAACAGCTCTCTTGCATTGACAACGAGACCAGCTTCACATAGACAGTGGAGTAGTGTCTTGTAGGAGCTGAGCGTTCTCTTGGGGATGAGATGGAAAATTTGTAGCGCTAAGTTGATATGTTATGGGGTAGAGCAAACTGCTCCCAGCACCGAATTCCAGCTGACCTGATCCCTCTCAGGCATCTCTTGAAATACCTTAAAACAATCTTGAATATGCCCTTCATGAGCATATGCTGATAGCATTACGTTCCAAGTGATCAAATCCCTGACAGGAATTCCATGAAATATAAAGATTGCATCAGAAACATTTCGGTTTTGAAGGTAAGCCTTGGCCTCCTCCAAATTCCTCTTGCTGGTCAACTCATGAAGCATCCTTTCGTTGACACTGGTTGACTCAAAAATTCTCATGGATTGGGAGACCATGTAAGACATTTTTTTATTATATGAACTATTAACAGAACTAGCCAATCAATTTCCTTAAGTAGAGAAGCACTTGCACATCTTCTTTGAGACGAAAAACCTTTCAGAATAAATAGCCATTGGGTTGTCAGCTGAAACTTTCCTTCTGGTCCATCATATTATCATCAAGCAGAGGGATTGTGGAAGAGTAGAAGGCGTTCTGAGCGGTTGTAGGAAGCGGTGATGCTGATGAAAACTATCTGGCATGCTTGCAGCTGAAGAGATCACACTGCTGCTGTGAGTCTGTTGTGTGGGGATGTGATAAGGTCTTGCCTGAGTGCTGAATGTCCCACTTGAAAGCTGCTGTAGTCGTGATGAATATCAAATCCATCACCTTCGTCACCGTCGAAAGAAAAATATGGCCTCGCTGGTGGGAGCAACTGTGGTAAAGCAAGGCCTAGAGCTGGTCATAGCTGGAGGGGCATGTTGCTCCATGTCGAAGTAGAAAGAAACTGCTGATGCCTCACAATTGCCAGCTCGCAATGAAGAACAGACGAAGGGTGGATACGTTGCTTCCATTCGGCAGCTTTCTTCTGCCTGGTTGCAAGCTCTGTGAATGAGCATGCTCTGTGAATTTACAAGATTTTCTTGATTTGTTTCATGAATTCTTTCGTCACTAGTGTGTACGTGTGCTCTGTTGGGTGAATTAAATCCCAGAAAACATAATCACTTGGATTCCTGCACAGCCCGCTCAAGGTATTTTTGTGTGATAGGCAATTGGGGCAACAACCCCCTCCATTCTGGAATCCAAACTTAATTGGGTTCTCCACGTACGATTTGATCAGTGAATAGCCATCAACAAATGCACCTCTCATCCCTGGGAATTTCCTTGCCACCCCCAAAACAATCTCCCGAGCTTGCCAATTGAATTGTTCTACTAAATCGTTGATCTCTCTTACACAATTTCCATCCGACGTGACAATAGGCACACACCCTAACGGCCCAAGGCTAGAATAGACAATCTTCCTGAATCCATATTTATAAAGTTGCTCCAAGCCTTTCTCCAATAACACTAGCATTGCCTCCAAGTCTACATTAGCAAGGTTTTGAAGATTTGCCGCAATGTCATTGCCACCCGATGATATCACAACCACAAAGTCATTGAGATTCATCATGGGGATCTTGTTGACTAGCTGTCCAAGTTGTTTTAGCTGCTCATTAAACGAGACGACACCCCAGTCTGAGTGAGTAGAATCAAGTAGTCCACTACCGTCTGACGCAAAGTTGATACTTAGTGGAAGTTGGCTCCCAGCTTTCAAGGCCAAGAATGGTTTTGAAAAGGGCAAACCGATCACTTTGTTTATCAGATCTGGAATTATAAACCCATCACTACACCTTCCTGATGGCTTGTTATACCTTGTCTTCCCATACGGCACAAAATCACAACGAGAAACAGAGTTCTTCACGTACTTGTTAGTTCCAACATCAAAGATTGAGTCTCCCATGTAGATAGTCCGAAGTTGAGGAACTGACTTCCCATACACGCACGCGCAGAGAGCCAAGATCGCAAACACGAACACTAAAATCTTCGACCACGTCTTCATAAACCTTCACGAGAGAACCTAATACAGAAAGCCCGTTTATATAGAGAAACGAGAAAAAGGTGAACTCACCTTTACAGCTGGGCTTCATGCCTTTTTGGATTAGAAAGAGCCTTGAACAATTTTTTGTGATTTGGAAAACGCTAACCACGTGACGCCCTAAAAATAACTCTAACGTAAAAAGGCTACAGGGCTTAGGGCTGTGCTGAGGCAGTGATAGTCGAGCCGCCCCAGGATGCGACTGCACGTATCGTGTGCTTGCCAGAGCTAGGGAGAGTGCAGGAGCGAGTTGTGCTAATTTTCCATGCAGCTTATCCGGACGTAAGAGATGTGCACCTCTATTCTGTACATCTCGAACTTCTCAAGTTACGTCGATCTCGACTCATGGATCACATTCGAGCATCTCTGGAGCTGTCAGCATTCGGTACTCCACGAGCTCTGGAGCTCGCATTCACAAAGTAAGAGTATGTGTATTGTACTTTTTTAAAATATCGGTGGTCCTTTTGCAGGATGAATGAAGAGCTGCGGGCTCTGGTAGGATCATCAGATTGCCGGGTATGTGGTAATCTCTCTTCTTGTCAGATGAATTATTGCTGTTTCTGTGAATGTTTACTTTGGTTTTATAGGATTGGTGTGCGCAAAACAGGTCCTTGGTGGTGGTGCTTGGAGACGCACATGTGTATGTATTTGGCCAGGCCGTTGCGTTGGTGATACTGTGCCGAAGTGGGAAGGACGAAAAGCTAACCCGTCCAAGTTCTCTCTACCTTCTCAAAAATGCTAGACCCCCGCAAAGTAGCACTCTACCTTTTTATTACCACAAGGTACTTACTCTTTTGTTAAAATTTGTTCTGAAAGTGTGTACAGGAGCGGCTGACTACAGCAGACACTTACCTAATCGTTGCGTCGAGACACCTAAATTATCACATGGATAGCGATTTTACAAGCGTTTTCACCACTCGGATTGACGCACTTGTGAGTATTGTATGCTTCTGATCTGCAAACAAGCTTGTAATGGGCGAACTAGTACAGGGCCTCGAGGAAGCTTGCCGCCAGATTGCCGATGTAGGATCTGATGATTGCAGGACATTCGCAGTAGTTCCTGTTGGACGACAGAAAGTGGCCAATGGAGTGACTCAAGAGGTGAGTGGACAGCTACACAGCGCCACAGAGGACATAGAGGAAAACCCAGTCGATTTAAATCCCGAGCCTGCGGACGAATCTGAGTCTGAAGATGAAGATGTGCCTGAAGACCCGGATGAGTCTGAAGACGAACAAGCGATGGAGTTATATGATGTTAGACCCGATGGTTTCCTTCCCCTAGGTACGTACAGTACATCAATTATAGCTATATAACCTTATTTCTGTTTTCAGTCAATGGGAACCCTCAAGTACCCGAACCCTTTACCTCTTGCAAGCCCGGACCTCCCAGGGACCCCTGCATAAGAGTGATGAACCTCAAGGTTCAAATCTACCTCTCGTTTTGTTTGTTTATCCGAGTTTGTGGTTTGAGATTTAGTGGCTTTTGATCAGGAAAAGGACCTCAAGCTTGTTTGTAAAGTCGGCTCTTGCAAGTTCGTGATTAAAAACGGGGACATAAAAGAGTGGTTTGTAGACGGAAAGAATGACGCTATTGTAGTTCCTGTTGGAGGTCAGATACACAGAGGTAAAGCAAAGGGTGTTTGGCATTTGACATGAGATTTTCTCTTTTCAGAAATATGTATTGCTACTGGTTCGTGGTTTGCTACTGGTTTCTTTCCTGGCTTGGATATCATGTACCTGTCTTTCCTCATTTCCTTTCAAAACTTTTAACGGACTTGTTTCTCAGCCCTTCAGGAGGACTGCCAGCACCTAAAATCATTGTTATTCAAGGCCCAAAATACTACAAAGACAGGGACATGGAAGCTGCTGAGTATCTTGGTCTCACTTACAGGTATGCCAGAGTGTGTAGCAAATTTGATACATTGTGCTTTATCTATTACAGGAACGCTATAACACTTGCTTGCAAGGAGGGCGTTAAGCACATAGCGTTCCCAGCTATCTTGTGCGGATATGGCGGGTTTGTACTCACACCTTACCTCTTGTATACTGAGTTTGCATTGTGTTTCAGGTTTCCTCTGAATAAAGTGGCAAGGATTGCTGTAGAAAGTGTACAAAAGGCACTCAAAACTGCTAAAGCGTCCATTGAGGTAAGATGCCCTGGATTAGACATGCCTTTGTTATTCTGTGTTCAAAATTGTAGGTTCACTTTGTCATAAAGGACGAACCCACCTGGAGAGACTGGGTAGCTGCAACAGATCATGTATCTTGTTGGTGTAACAGACCTCCCTTTCCAGTCACTTCCAAAGGCATTCTAACTTTTTTTAGTTGTGATTGAGAATATTCTGTTGTCTCGCCACAATATCTGATAATCTATCACTTATTGAATATATTAAGCTCAATATTATAAGGGTTCTTAACACTAACAAGTGCAAACTAACAACATTGTGTCAAGTATGTTAGACTAAATTATAACTTAATATTTCTTTCTTTAGTGCTTTTTTGGTCTAAGTGCATATATATTGATTAGTTTCTTAATTAGCTTGGATGGAGATTGATTAAAAGTCTAACAATACTAACTTTCTGCCATTATGACAGTAAAAAAAAAAGTATTCAAAAGGACTTGTTAACAGATAACTTTTGATAATATTTATGATATGCTCTCCCCCCTTTAAAAAGATTGACATCCTTATTGATGCACACTTGAGACCATTGGCCAAAGAAATAACTCTAGAAAAAGTTCATGGTATTCATATTTTATGAAAAATGCATTAACTTAAATAAGTTATGGGACTACTTCTTTATCTATGTAGAATGAACTAATGTTAAAATGCCATCTGGCCATCATTGACATGGAAATGACCAACAGAGTCAACCACTCTTAGTATTGATAATTGCTGCTAAATAGAATAGAATGGCATATCATTATTAGCAATAATAATTAAGTATAATTTTTAATAAGGATAATCAACTATCCCAGATGATCAAGAACCAAAAGCTCAAAAAAGTTTAAAATTAAGTTCTATATAATAATAATCATAAGTTTCATATTGACTAACTTCATATTTATAGCGCATGTGATCATAGAATGAGATTTGGATATACTATCATCGTAGATCCTTAGAACCTTAGAGGATAAATAGGGATAAAATAACCACTAAGGGCTTTCTCATAAAACAATTGCCCCTTTTCCAATTGGCTTAAGTGGAGAGAGATAAAGTGCGCTATATGTGGTATCGGAGCAAATGATATGGGTTCGATTTCCATTAATTAGTAGCTACTTAAAAATATAATATACCCTTGAGTAAAGTATATTCCTATCCATAAATTTGAAATCGTATGTATTAGGTGTCCATGCATATGTCCTTCCTTTTGGTGAAGCATCCATGGATGCGTATGTCCTTCCTCTTGGTGAAGCATCCATGGACGAAGGCATATACTGTAGGACTGCGGTACGAGTGAATGACTAGTTACCAAAAAAATGAAGGTGTTGATTCCCCTTGGCTCAATAAGGGGTTATTAGTTAATAATCAATGGACATCTCTAAAGGGGGGTGAGTGTGTGGTACAAGTGGATGACTAGTTACCAAAAAAATGGAGGTGTTAATTCCCCTTGGCTCAATAAGGGGTTGTTAATTAATAGTCAATGGACATCTCTAAAGGGGGGGTGAGTGTAGCATATGGGCAAAGTAGCCAAATAATAAAGTCTTGGACAACTTTAGCACAAATTATGGATAAATGTAATTTGGGGGATAAATAAGGATAAAATAGCTACTAAAGGCTCTTTCATCAAATAATTGCCCCTTTTTTAATTGGCTTAAGGGGAGAGAGATAAGGTGCACTACAATATTCAAGAAGAAATCATGATAAAATCTGTAATTTTCACTTTAACAAATTCACAAGCCAAAACTTCATAATACAAAAATAAAGAGTATATCTATATTAATTTAAGAGTCATGCTTAACAAGTGATCATTAAATTGTCTTTTATAAATTTTAACATGTAACACACTTCATAACAAGTGTAATAAGAATCATTAATAATCGATAATCTCAAACTCAAAGTAATAAGGATCTAACAAGTCTAGTATTAATCACTAATTCTTCATTTTGCAAAACTAGCTAACTAAATCACTTTTCAAAGAAAAACCAAAGTTCAAGCCCTACTAAAAAATCTCGTCTACAATAAAGCTAACCCAACTTACCACTCAGCTTATTGAATGCTATTATAATTGCTAACTAATAAATGCATAAATATTAACAACATAAAGTTACAACCAAATCACCAGCACTATCTTTGTCAAAACTCATGAAGAAAATTATCAATCTCCAATGAGGCTTAACTAATCACTAACTATCTGAACCATCATAGATGGGAAATTTATCTTTTGCAATATGCTTATGAAGAAATATCTCATTTCACTCTAATCTCAATTTTAACAATATTAATGTCAAGGTCTTAACATTAACATAAGCATACACTTGTTAAGTTCATCAATATAGTGTATATGCAACCCAAAACATCTAAGGGCATCACAGCTAGCTACTAGGTTGAGGTCTCGTTTGTTAATAAAATTACCAAACAAATCACTTCACCAACTAAGAAACTACCATAGAATCGATAAAAGAGCTCTCAATCTATCAATTCTTATTATGTCTAGACTTAGTAAGTTTCTTCATCTTGAGTCAAATTAAACCATAGGCTTCACTCCAAGTAATGCCCTTCCATCAATTCCTTTAAGTTTTAGCCTTGCAACCATACTCCTTTTGGAACCCAAAGACTTTGATTTCTCATGAGGTGATGGCAATGTCATCCAAATAACATTTACCAATCCCTAATTATCATCATTTATGGTTAAGACTAAAATGGTATCTAATCATATTTGAGCTCCCAACTTTCATTTTTGATTAATAAAAACATCCTCAGCAAATGCTTAAGAATTTCATCTCTAACAATGGAGTACAAATGCCCCAAATTGTCCCTATTAATCATTACTTCTATCTTGGAGACTAACACAACAGGACCAAAGTCCTATTACATTATTCCATGCTAATGTATTTAGAGTATAAGTTTCCTTTAAGCACTCTAATTTTTTCAAAGTAACATTACTGACTCCACACCTATCAAATTAGCATCATTGACTCATAGGATGGGGTGACAAGTGCCCCTAAGGGCAAACCATTCATCTTGTCCTAAGATCCAAATGAACTTTTTAATTGTAACAACATGTTAATAGAGTTAGCATTACTATAGCTATTGGCACTAGACTTGCCCTCCAATGAATCTTACTTAAGAAATTTATATTGTACTCATTCCAATTTGAAAGCCTGGTATTATTATTTATTGTCACTACCTCCCAATGTTAGGATTGGATAATTTGTGCGTCTGCTGCCTTTCTGGATGTGGTAGCTGTGTC